GCGGCTTTAAAATATTTTGTATAGCACCGCATCTTCAAGAGTAGAATTTGTGGGTCAAAATGTCAAAATTTAAGAAACATACATAGGTATCAGCTGCAAAATACATTTAATTGAACATATTTTGTAAATTGAACGCAAGGTCTGAGTTTTTGAATTAGAATGCCGCAGCATCACTTTTGACAGACGGCTAGTGTTTGTCTGCAGAGAGTGTAAATATCATAGAAGTGATTTGAATGAATGAATTTGTGTATCAAAGTTTTCATGGCACCATCCCACAGAGGGAGGATCCAGACTTTTTTAAACGAGGGGTCAACAATTTCATATAGGCCTAAATGATTATTATTATTATTATTATTATTATTATTATTATTATTATTATTCTTACTGTTATTATTATTATTATTATTATTATTATTATTATTATACAGATATATGTCTAGTAATGGCATGATTGATGTTCAGTACATGCTGTTAAACTTATTATTTGTATGCGATTTTGTATTTTCACTGTTAACAAACAAAAGCCGACAGTTGCAAAACAGGGGGAACGTTCCCCTCCCTAAATATTCTCCTGTCCAACATTGTGGTAACCGAGGAACAAAATGTTGTGGCTATGGCAACTAGATTGCCGGAAATGGCACTCACACTCTTAGGCCTAAATATACCTTTCCTCTTTTATCTCTATTTTTTTTAATTTTCAAAGAAGTTTGGGGAGGGGGCTAGCCCGGGCGAAGGTTAAGTGTCAGTGCTAAGTGATTAAGTTAGGGAAATTCAGATGGGAGAATATGGTGATATGTGGCAATTTTTTGAGTACTTGAGAAAAACAATTTTTTTTTTGCAAAAGAATATCCAGTGGAGATGTGTGGAGGAGCAACATTTCTGGGAGGGAGATTATTTTTTATGCTTTTATTTTCTTCCTAATGCATCACTGATCCCATTATATGATATCAGATAAAATAAAATGACTATTGTATGATATATAAATGAATAACGATGATCGAATTGCAATTTTTTTAAAAACTAATCTTCGGCAGTGGCCATTTCAAAATTCAAAATGGAGCCCCTAGAATTGAACTGGCCCCCTTTTTGTTCTTAATCAGTGAATTTTTTAGATATGTTTAGACATGTTTGCCAAGAATCTACCCAAAATATATGACATAAGACAACAGACTATATTGTGACTTCATGTAGTTGAGACTTGAAAATTAAAACAGTTTCCTTAGAAACAAAGCGGCGATACTTCATCATCATTACTACTGTGCATCAAATGTTACCGTCCCGTTGTTACATGAGGATTACTCTAGGAAATTTTGAAAGTAGTAATAATAATCATAATTAGTTATTATCCGTTATCCTGGAGTTCAACTCTAAGAATATCTATCTTAGAATGACCATGTTTTAGAATTAACATTTACAAATCACTTCTTGATACACTATATCTATATCTAGTTAAATCATTACAACAAAAACAATCTGCACGTATTCTTACTAAAACATTTGAAGGCATTCATTTTTGGGTGACGACTTAATAAAAGTTTGTATTTGCAACCTTTTGAAGAGAGAAGAGCCTATGCAATAAATTGCATTATGTACAAATGCTCTTATTTAACTGACCCCAGCTAGATCAGCCATTTTGTAATCAAATCTGCACATGCCCAAGAATCAACATAAATCTATGCTATATGCATTGTGTGTATGTTTTGATATGGGCACGGGCAGTTCTGACTACGAAATGGCTTATTGACGGATGATATAAAATTGGTGACTTTTAGACGATAGCACTTATTATTATTACCCAGTCAGCAGCATGCTGACTGGGTTCTGTTTCCGAGCAGTTTCTTACCCAGTCAGCAGCAGCTGACTGGGTTCTGTTTCTTAGCAGTTTCTTCCTTCCTTCTTTCTTTCTTTCTTTCTTTCTTTCTTTCTTTCTTTCTTTCTTTACCCAGTCAGCAGCAGCTGACTGGGTTCTGTTTCTTAGCAGTTTCTTTCTTTCTTTCTTGCAACATTTTAAAAGGCTACTAGTGGCAAACTACTGGACCGATTTAATTAAAACTTGGTCAGTAGGACCGGTGCCACCTCCTATTTATGTGTTGTTCACACCTTGGGGTCAAAGGTCACATAAGGGGCATTAGGGTCAAAAAACCAAAAATCGTATAAAAGACTACTTGTGTCACAAATAACGTAGCACAGTCTTGTCTTTTGCACATATACATTGGCATAAGGCAGAGTCTATAGGGTGTTCAGGGATAAGGGGTCAAAGGTCATTAAGGGGTAATTTTTATCTTTTTTCTCGCAACATTTTAAAACGCTACTAGTGCCAAACGGTTGTGCCGATTTCAACCAAACCTGGTAAGTATAATCGGTGACACCTTTCATACATGGGATGTTCACTGCTTGGGGTCAAAGGTCACATAGGGGTCATTAGGGTAAAAATCTTTCAAAAAAAATGAATAAAAGACTTCTGTCACAAATAACATAGCACAGTCTTGTCCTGGGCACATATGTATTGGCATAAGGTAGGGTCTTTATGGTGTTCAGCGATTTATGGTCAAAGGTCATTAAAGGGTTATTCTTTCGTTCTCTCTAGTAACATTTCAAAATGCTACTAATGGCAAACCATTGGACCAAATTCAATCAAATTTTGTCATTAAGAACCGGCGACACCTCCTACGCCCCAGTCTGGGATAAGGGTCATCGGGGTTAAATTTTCAAAATAGCCCAATTGAGCTCAAATTTACCAGGAATGATCCTTAGGACCTTCTAAACACACATAAAAAAAATTACTCTTTACCCCATATGTCAAAGTTCATAGGTCAAAGGTTCAAAATGTTACTAATGGCAAACGATTGAACCGAATTTATTCAAATTTGACTTAATTTGACATTAAGAACCAGTGACACCTCCTACACCCCTGTCTGGCATCAGTGGTTACATAGGGTTCATCTGGGTCAAATTTTATCTGAATGAGCTTTTGTTGCAAATAGAGGAAAATTTTTTTTATTTTGATTGCTAGTGACTAATGATTTGACCAATTGCATTAGACATACTCCTACCAAACATGGGGTGTTCACACAGGTTGAGCTTAAAAGTCACAGTGGTTATCTCTTAAAAAAATGACTGGGTTCATGTTCTATTGAACATAGTGTCTCTAGTTATAACTATTGTTGTTAATATTGTTGTTAATATTATTATTATTATTATTAATTATTAAATACTTACTATTAGTCATTTTGTCTTTACTGCAGTTATTATTATTATTATTTATTATTTATTATTTATCATTATCATTTGTCATTTATTATTTATTATTATTATTATTATTATTATTATTATTGTTATTATTATTATCATTATTGTCACCATCATTATATTTATTTTATTTAACTTTATTCCCAGAGGCCAGCCCGTCGAATAAAGCTGATCATTAGGGCCCCTGACAATAAAATTCAATAATCATATATAAATGTATAAATTTGGGACATGAGTAAATATATAAAGAAAATAGACAAAAGCATAACAAACGACACAAACTTTAATATACAAAAAGGACATAAATCAAAAAATATAAGGTGATGAAGATTTAACAAAATTCTTATATTTGAGTTGAAAGTTCCAATTGTAGAATGACGATCGATGTTGGGAGATTATTTAATAAGGTTGGAGCTTTAAAATAAAAACTAAGTTCGAATTGTTTTGTGTTTTATGATCAATTTGATAGATTTGCAATCAAGATATGATGGTGCTAAGTTATTGATAACAAATAAATGCCAAACATTCTAATTGGTGACTGATCCTCCCTTTGAGGTCAAGAATATTTAATATTGCTTAAGAACACCTGATGTATTAGTTATAGGAGTAAGACAACCAAAAGTACGAAGATTTCGATTTGGAAAGACCTGAATTATGTTAATGTTAGACTTACAGGAGCCCCAAATGGAGAATTTTTAAAGGATTGGTTTCGAGAAAATAAAAGAATATGTAGGCCTAGGTTCAGTTTGCTATAAGACTGCTATAGTGTGCTTTTTTCAAAAAGGGTCTCATCAACAATAAGACCAAGGTGATTTGATTTGATTTGATTTCATTTATTCGCATCTCATATAAAAAACAGTACAATCATTAAAACAATACACAATATAAAAAGCATAAAATTCATTTGAAAAAGTTACCAAAAAGAAAAAAAAACAAGCAAAAGGCCAGTACAAAGTCCAAGAAGATTGATGGAGGAATTGAGGAAGTAATACAAAGGAGTTACAAGGATAGCCCCAAAAAGGTCTTATTTCCATTGGGGTCCTTTTGACGAAAAACCAAGAAGGCAGCATCAAAGAAATTTCAAGCCAATTTAAAAACGAAAAAGAAAAAACAAAATAGAAAAGTAGCAAGGTTCAAAAAGATTAATAAAAAACCACCGAAGCAGATTCTTCAATACATGCTTTTTCCTTTAAATATCCTTTAACTTTAGATTTAAAATTACTAAGTGAGGGGCAACTTTTTATCTCTTTAGGTAACGAATTCCAACCCTTGATTGCTTTATAACAGAAGGTGTTATGTTTGTTCACTTGTTTCAATTTAACATGATTAATATATACATACAAATCTGGCGAATTTTTCAAATTCTTAGTTGACCCAAGCAACGTGACCTCAGTTTCGGTAGTTCTAATTATTAGCTTGTATCTGCAGAGCTCCTTATTGGCAAAATTAAGGTATTTACATGGCTTTCGTTCGATTTCGTCGTGTGAAGTATCACTTATCTGCATGATGGTATCATCGGTATATAGGTCGATATTACAATAACGCACGGCACGTGGGAGATCATTAACCGTAAATAACAACGGTCTAAAAATGGTGCCCTGTGGGACACCAATTTTGATAGAAAGAATTTGGGATAATTTGTCTTGCATTTGGACCGTCTAAGTGATTTTACCCAAGTAATTAAATCATCAGAAAAAGCGAAGGAATTTAATTAATCATTCAAGATGCCGTAGTTGACTGTATCAAACGCCTTTTTTAACTCGATAAAAACGGTGCCTGTAGTCATCATTGTCAGTGCTCTTTAACCAAAAATCACTTTTAAGGGTTGAATAACTTGGCCTAAATCCGGTTTACTGTGGGTAGTTTATATTAATATTGTTAAGGTAGGTGAAAATTTGTTTTCTAGTATTCTAGTAGTCTAGTATTAAGATTATAAAGGCCAGTAGCCTTATTCATATCCATAGTGTGAAGTTCGTTATTATTATTATTATTATTATTATTATTATTATTATTATTATTATTATTATTATTATTATTATATTAATATTATGATTTGTTATTTATTATATATTATAATAGTATTTATTATATATTGTTCATTATTATTATTATTAGTGGTCGTGGGACTAGTTTGGGCCCTACCTAAGCTGGTCGAACGTTTCGTTTGGGTCTATACCCTAGCTACACTGATGAGGCCCGGAAGGCCGAAACGGATCCGTCTGCAGAATATTGGGATTACTTCCAGTAGATGCTTAGTTTATGTCACACATGCTGAAGAAGACCCGAGGACGGGTTGAAATATTCATGTTTTGAATAAAATTTGTTCTAAGTCCACCAAATCGTTGACATCTCATCGTCTTTTTCATTGAGTATGTACAGATGGCAGTAGGAGTTAGATAGAAGGTTAAAATAAAGGATTTCTCTTGTCAAGTTTAACCCCCTTTACATATATATAATAATAAAATTAAAAACTTTACTTATTGAAAGATAATGTAATTCATAATAATAAAAAAAATAATAATAGTAATAATAATAATAACAATAATACAAATAATCGTAAACATGATATATACACACACACACACATATATATATATATATATATATATTAACACTTACCCAATGCCAATAACACTTACCCAATGCCAATAAAATGTTTAAAACACTCTTTAATACCAATAAATCTGTTAAAAAAGGCGGCCATTTTGAATTTCAATATGGAGGCCTAAGGAGTGAATGAAAAAACTGGCACCTACTTTTTTCTTAATCAGTATTGTTTTTAGAGTTGTTTTAACATAATTGCCAAGCATCTACCCAAAATTTTGCTTTTTCTACATAAGACAATAGACAATATCTCCCAAGGTGAATGGTAATAATAATGGTAATGGTTGAGATTTATATAGCACATAATACGTGGTATCTATGTGCTGTACAAAAAAAAACAAAACAGCATGTACATGACTCACAGGTGCTCTAATAGTGTTGGCATCTGCCCTAGCCTTTCACAACAACAAAAGTGACTAAGCTTATTGCATCTCTACGGCTCAGTAGCTCCGTGCTATTTCCCTGCAATTTCGAAACATTACCATACAATATATTATTATCGTAATCAAATATAAGCATAAAATACAGTAAATCATCAAACAAATCACTTATCAAAATATCCATAGGCCTAATACTGTATTCTCAAACAGTGTGAGAGCAAAACTAAAAATAAACAAACGGTAATTACATTCCGCTACAGTATCTAGCTAGAATTCTCTCTAGCACCGTTAAACATTGCATTTTTAATTGTGTACTGAAGCAAAATAGAAGATCCTCTAGATGAGGTCGCTTAGCAACTGCTTGCTAGTGTAGATTTGTAACGCTGTGCGTACTTAATTTACAATCTTTTCGTAAACATGTCTAAGCTTTCGTCCATTCTTGACATATACTTAACATTATAAATCAATCGTGACGTCATCACTGCAACTCCCAATGTTATTTGCCTATCCCCAGAAGTGCAATATTTTTTTTCATATAATAATAATAGTAATAATAGTGTAGTTTTATATATATGCGTCGTATCCATCTAATGCTCAAGGCGCTTATGTGGACTAGAAACTCGATCAATGACTATCTTCCCCTTAAGGTAACCCGGTACCAGTAACTCTCGTCGTCCACCACAGGGGCTCTCTGTTCTCTCTGTGCTACCCGGTAACCCGGTACCAACAGCTGTCTTCGTCCACCACAGGGGCTGTCTGTTTCAGTAAACCGGGGTATCCCCCTACTCGTCTTGAATGATGTACTGGGTTCTTTTTAGTGTACACGAGCCATTTTAGATTCGTGTGCAAACAACTTTTACAGTATGTCTATCAAAATAGCATTAGAATCCAGTTTATTCAAAATATAGGTATTCAACGTATCCGTACTGTACTGCTGATTTGTAACGTCGCTAGCTGTATTTTAACGCTTCGTGTTTCAGGAGCACAAATCAGCAGATGCAAACAGCTAAATGTAAAACGCATACATAGGCCTACTGATCATACCACTATTATAGACACCAATAACTGCATGCTAAATAGCAGTTGATTATCAAAACTAACATTAGAAGACACCGATTGACCTATAAAGCAATTAGTATAGCTGCATACTTAGGTTAGGTTTATTTCAAAATTTTATTAAGCATTAAATCTAACCTTCGTATAATAATTTTCTGCTAGACTGTACTATGCCTTAATAATAGAGTTCGTCATTTCGTTCGAGAACCAATCCGCCAAGAAAAGTGCATATTGTTGTGTATGACGTCACCATTTTAAACATTGTTTTAGTTTTCTTGCACTCTAAACCAAAAATTCAGCTGCTGGATCCTTGGCGATGAATCGAGAAAACCACAATCTGAATTTATCATTGCAACATTTTAATGAAATTTGATTATAAGGCCTATTTTATATTCAATGATTATAATACTACCTTTAGAAATTCATGATAGTTCATATTGCACTTTCGGACTTTCAAAAATCATATTTTCAACTACTGTGTGCTCCTTAGAATATTTTACGATGCTTCTTCATCCAAATTCTGCCATTAATAATGCCAGTGTTTAGCATTATTTTTTAATACTAAAAAGTCGCCTTTTAATCCTTAATTAATGTTGCCAGAATTCAAACGTTAAAGTTGGTGTTGCCATTTGAATTAGTAAATCGGCTTAATTAAGCATCAGAACGAGCGCAAGACTATATTACAATAGTAAACAAAAACTAGAGATACTATGTTCAATAGAACATGAACCTAGTCATTTTTTAAGAGATAACCATTGTGTCTTTTACCCTCAACCTGTGAACACCCCATGTTTGGTAGGAGTCTGTCTAATGCAATTGGTCCAATCGTTAGTCACTAGCAATAAATTTTCACTATAGTGACCCTTGTGATTTTTGACCTATAGGTGAAGAGTAGTTTATCATGTTTAGAAGGTCCTAAGGATCATTCTTGGTAAATTCGAGCTCAATTGGGCTATTTTGAAAATTTGACCCTGATAACCCCTATGTAACCACTGATGCCAGACAGGGGTGTAGGGGGTGTAACTGGTTCTTAATGATCAAATTTGATTGAATTTGGTTTAATCGTTCGCCATTAGTAACATTTTGAACCTTTGACCTATAAACTTTGACATATAGGTTGAAGAGTATTTTTTCATGTTTAGAAGGTCCTAAGGATCATTCCTTTCCTGGTAAATTTGAGCTCAATTGGGCTATTTTGAAAATTTAAACCCGATGACCCCTATGTGACCCCTCATCCCAGACTAGGGTGTAGGAGGTGTCGCCGGTTCTTAATGACGAAATTTGATTGAATTTGGTCCAATGGTTTGCCATTAGTAGCATTTTGAAATGTTACTAGAGAGAAGAAAAGAATAACCCTTTAATGACCTTTGACCGTAAATCGCTGAACACCATAAGAACCAACATTATGCCAATACATATGTGCCCAGGACAAGACTGTGCTATGATATTTGTGACAGAAGAAGTCTTTTATTCATTTTTTTAAAAGTTTTTTACCCTAATGACTCCTATGTGACCTTTGACCCCAAGCAGTAAACACCCCATGTATAAAAGGTGTTACCGATTATACTGACCAGGTTTGGTTGAAATCGGCACAACCATTTGGCACTAGTAGCGTTTTGAAATGTTGCCAGAAAAAGATAAAAATTACCCCTTAGTGACCTTTGACCCTTATCCCTGAACACCCTATAGACCCTGCCTTATGCCAACGTATATGTGCAAAAGACAGACTGTGCTACGTTATTTGTGAGACAAGTAGTCTTTTATAGGATTTTTGGTTTTTTGACCCTAATGCCTTTTATGTGACCTTTAACCCCAAGTTGTGAACAACACATAAATAGGAGGTGGCACCGGTCCTACTGACCAAGTTTTAAATAAATCGGTCCAGTAGTTTGCCACTAGTAGCCTTTTAAAATGTTGCCAGAAAGAAAGAAAGAAAAAACTAGAGATACTATGTTCAATAGACCATGAACCCAGTCATTTTAAAGAGATAACCACTGTGATCTTTAACCTCAACCTGTGAACACCCCATGTTCTAATGCAACTGGTCCAATCGTTAGTCACTAGCAATATTTGATAATTTTCACTATAGTGACCCTTGGGAATTTTTACCTATAGATGAAGAGTAGTTCGAGCTCAGTTGGGCTATTTTGAAAATTTGACCCCGATGACCCCTATGTAACCACTGATGACAGACAGGGGTGTAGGAGGTGTCACTGGTTCTTAATGATCAACTTTGATTGAATTTGGTTTATTCGTTTGCCATTAGTAACATTTTGAACCTTTGACCTATGAACTTTGACATATGGGGTAAAGAGTATTTTTTCGTGTTTAGAAGGTCCTAAGGATCATTCCTAGTAAATTTGAGCGCAATTGGGCTATTTTGAAAATTTAACCCAGATGACCCCTATGTGAACCCTGATCCCAGACTGGGGTGTAGGAGGTGTCACCGGTTCTTAATGACGAAATTTGATTGAATTTATTCCAATGGTTTGCCATTAGTAGCATTTTTAAATGTTACTATACAGAAAAAAGAATAACCCTTTAATGACCTTTGACCGTAAATCGCTGAACACCATAACGACCCTACCTTATGCCAATACATATGTGCCCAGGACAAGACTGTGCTATGTTATTTGTGACAGAAGAAGTCTTTTATTTATTTTTTTGAAAGTTTTTTACTCTAATGACCCTATATGACCTTTGCCCCCGAGGTGTCACCGATTATACTGACCAGGTTTGGTTGAAATCGGCACAACCGTTTGGCACTAGTAGCGTTTTGAAATGTTGCCAGAAAAAGATAAAAATTACCCCTTAATGACCTTTGACCCCTTATCCCTGAACAC